TACAATTCATGCTTGTAATTCTTGAGTTCATTCATCATCAATATTACTCCATAGTGCAAGGGTGGGTTTTTTCTCCCAGTTCTCGGGTTTTCCCACGGTAACATTGTCTTCCTTTTACTTGCTTTAATTCCTTCAAAGTTGTTCTTGATTGTTATGCTTGTTTGTTCATTGCTATTGTGGGTTGATTGCAAGTTAGTTGAACACTTTAATCCTTACAAATTAGACATTAATTGGTTGTAACACAAGTTATTTAGCAGCAGGAGAAGAATAAAATTGAATAATCTGAGCTAAATTTCAGAAGACATTTTATATGAGTTTAATATTGGATTTTAAAAAGTTAACTTACTCTGCAGTATATAATAGCTGAGAACAACAATGTCTTGGAGTCTCCCAAGTAAGCATCAGCCAAAGAGGCAACAAATATCAGAAGAATTCCTTTGGCTCCATCTTGGACATTTGTAATTACAACCGCTTGAAACAATCTCAGCTGCCATTCGTCGGTTAAGAATGTAATTAACACCATGAATATAAAATCTGCTACAACATAGCTGATGCGCAAGCCAGCAGGACAAGATAGATGGATCACTGTTGCACGGTTAAGCTAGAATGCAATACTCAGATGCAACAAAAAGTTCAAATTTCATAGTATACATATCTCTATTTTGTTAAGTTTGATGTATATTCAATAGAATCAACCACTCAAATGAATTGGACAAACAAACAAGCAAAATATAGCCATATAGGGCCGTTGTCAGATGTGCCCACATAATTAAGGACCTTGATGACTGAAGTTCCTAGCCTATTAGACCGAATATAGTTGTCAAGTACTAAGTACTAACCTGCAATAAAGAGCACCTCTGATCCAGGAAAAGAGAACAATCTTCTAATTTTGTTTATTAAGTAAACAAAACAAGATTGTGTTGTTCTCTGCTCCTCCTTTAAATGTGTCCCCTGTTCCATGACCTCCATGCAATTTCTCAATATTCTCCCTGTTTAAAGTTTATTTGTTCAAAGTCAGAAATTTTAACATTGACAATTTAATTTGTAATGTGTGTATGTATTAAGAAAAATAAACTAAGTGGGATCTTGTAAGATTCTTTTTAATCATCTTAAAATTCTTAATTTCACCTTTTTATAACTTTGTATTAACAAGCATGATGCTTAGAAATGTGAAAGATCAAATATACTTTGTATGAGTTTAGCATTGAGATTACATATGTACATGAAGAATGATGGAAAAATAGGAACTTTACTAGTTCCCACAAATTCTAGCATAATTCTAAGTCCTCAAAACCTCAACTAAAGCATCTAAATAAAGCAAAATTAAATGAAGGTTACTTACAGAAAATCGCGGCTGATTCGAAATGACTTCTCTAATTACAGCTGCAGTGATCGATTATGGACTGTACTCATGCCTTGTTAGAGCCACTTTTCAATCTTGGAAAGCCTGGAAATGTGAGGACTTAGATGGAGAGTGTGTTGCGTTAATGAGTTGACTTAGTAAGATATAATTGTGCATTTGTATTGGTCCTTTCATCTCAATTTAAGTACAACTAACGTTTTCAATTTAAGTGTCACATTCCCTTCTTTATACGGTATGTCTCGTTTATCACCCATATTATAAACGTTTTGGCTCGGAGAGTGAGGGATAGCTCAAGTGGTTAAAGCTCCCCTCCCGATTTCAAATGATCTTGGGAATGATTCTCATTATCCGCCCTTGTGGCTCTCTAAACCCCCCAAAAAAAAAACGATCTTCCTAATGAGCGCCCCGGGGCGTTAGTTAAGGATAAATTATATTGGTTGAAATGGTATTAAGTTAGAAATTCATGACAAAATTACGTGTCGTTCGGTGTAATTAATGTTAATTTTACTCTAATATTTGCACTTTAATTCTCTTATCTAACGCCCCGGGGGCACTCATTAGCTTTTGCCAAAAAAAAATGTTTTGGCTTGACAACGTATAACTCTCACGTCAAATGCTCAATTTTAAGTTAAAAGATTAATCGGGATGTATTTTATTTACTTGAATTGATTTTGCATATTAACTTATCAAATTTTATTAGGCCTCATCAAAACTTGTTATATTTGGAATTGAATTTAGATAGCCCTTTTAATCCTAATTGTAACTTATTTTTTCTAAACTTTATCACATTAGAACTGTTTTCTAATATAATGGTCTCAAATGAGATTGCAAGTCAACCATTGCATCAACTTGTATCTGCCACATCTCCCCCTGTGATATTTTTATTACAAGTAAACTCAGAGGACAATAATTACGCTCGGTAAGTCGTCTACGAAAGCCATGATATTCCGGATCAAGTATATTTGACTTTTTTTAAATGTAGATAGTAGATCCATTTTTTTTTTTTGCGTATTAAAAAAAGTTGACTATGCCTGACTTCAGGAGATACAGGGAAAAAAGTTAGATCAAAATCATATGGAATACTCTTTTTTTTTTTTGGAAGAAAAGTACTAAGTCTCCTAGTATCTCCAATACGAGTAATTCCCTTCGTTATGAATACATAATGTGTTTGATTTAATCTTGATGAAATTTACATATAATTGATATTTTGAAAAACAAACCTTAAATGAATCCAACAAATTAAGACATGAACTCTTGAAAACAAACTGCTAATACTAATAGGCTAATAGCTGTAGTAACTTTAAAGTCTCGATGAACTTCCAAAAGTTTATTATTAAAACCATCAATATATCTAGTCTTGAACTATACTAATCTAATTGCAGGATTCAGATTTCAGAGTATATCCAAAGGCAAGGCATCTGTTTAACAAAATGTCCTCAAGTTCTTCATTGTAAATCTGCATATACATATTTAGTGAAAACAGTGTTAAGGTAGTTTTTTTGATAAATTTGATAGGATTATAAGAAAATGGAGCAAAATGAACAGGATGAGTTATTTACCTTGCAAATGCTGAAGGTACTTGAATAGATGTCTCAACATCTGACGGCGAATTTTTCAGCAGAAAGTTCCATCCGACTTCAGACATTGTCCAATTAGTTTTTACTTTTAGTGACTTTAAACTAAGGAAGGGTGATGGCTCACTTTTAAGTCTACCATCCAATGAATCGAGCACCTTCGAGGTCACCATATAGAGTACATAACAAAAATAAATTAAAGCAGTTTAGTAATCGAGTGTATAATCCCTTGGTCCCTTAAGACTGGTTCACGTATACGATTATAGATTTGACATATGTGAAAGAATGTGTATTAAGATTGTGGAATCAATTACCTTGAGAGTGTGTAAGGACATGATAACAGATTTCGCGTTTGCTAGCTTCCTAAGCATCTTGAGAAGTTTACTTGCCTGGTCATTTTCTTCAGTTTCAGAGTAAATGCTGTGTGTGACATTTATATCTACCTCTTCCAACAAACAACATTTATCACTCATAGACAGGTTTACCGGATTACTGCCTTCAAATTTAAAATAAGATAGCAGGGGTGAGGAAACGACAACCCGAGAAAAGGACGAGTTCAGTATCTCCAGTGTCTTAAGCATAGGAGCTGACACTCTCAAAACCAAAGACTGTAATCTGCAGTCTTGAAAACACAATTTTTCCAAAGCAGGACAAGATGAGAGAAATTCAGGACTAATAATGTCTGGATTATTGGATGCTGTTAGACCGTGAAGCCTTAACTCTTTCAATGCAACAAAACCATTATACAAAGTTACACAAGGAAAATCGAGTTGGAGTTTCTCAAGCGAATTGCTTAGACATAAACATTCTGGCAATGTCACGGTAGAGTTGTGATTTTCAGCATGGAATACAATCTCCTGTACGTTTGCTCGAACCAAATAACTCAAGATATAATTTATGCAGAATGAGGACAAACTAGCATTTGTCCAGAACGTAAACTTGTCAATTTTAGAAGATTTTCGTCGTATTAAAACCTTAACAATATAAAGGTGATAAAGTTGTTAAGACTAGGATTGAAAAAAAATTGTGGAATGTAATCTGTTGATTCATTGTGAAGAGAGCAAGAGGGAGAAAACAACCTCGAGGCCATGAGTGAATCCAGACCATCAGGTGAAGACGGAGGATAACCAGGTGAAAGAGGCTTAACAGGATAATTCTCTGCAGTACCAGGCGAAGCCTGATAAATGTAATGTTGTAGAGATGCCGGAGGATAACCAGGTGATGTAGGAGAATAACCAGGTGATGCCGGAGGATAACCAGGTGATGTAGGAGAATAACCAGGTAGTAATGTAGGATTATAACCAGGTGATGTAGGAGAATAACCAGGTGATGCCGGAGGATAACCAGGTGATGTAGGAGAATAACCAGGTAGTAATGTAGGATTATAACCAGGTGATATATAATAATCAAAAGTATGAGAATAAGGAGGAGAATTATGAGAAATATAGCCAGGTGAGGCAGAGAAGCAGAAGTTAAGAAAAGGGATATCGGTCCAAATATGCTTCCATCTTGTAGAAAGTATGGAGGTTTGAATTACAAACTTAATATCTAAGGTTGAAAGAATTTTATGAAGAAGACAGTCTGGCAGATCACTTAATCTATCTCTATTGTTTCTTTCATTTCGCAAATTGTTACACTCTCTTTTCAGATCCATGGGTAGATTCAGGGTTGGGTAGAACGTGTGACAGTTCTAAGATACTTTTTGATCATAGAGTAAAAAGATAAGCGAAGATATAACTACATTTTATAGAGTTCATTAACGGATCCTTCTTTCCAAACTTTCGATGTGGGATAGTAGTCTTTTATTTTTAATTGCCGATTCTTTCACTTGATTCTAATACAGTAATACAGTACGATTTATATGCTTTGTCAATTGTTAATGAAATCAAAAGCCTTTATTTTGAGTTTATATCCATCTTCCTCTGTTTTATAGAGATTTTAATACTTTGTTCTTCAAATAAAAAAAAAAAAATAACACTTTGACTTGTATGTTTTACAAATTCATTTGTGTTCTTTTGTACATTCCAAGAAGTTTAAATAATCCCTAAATAATACCAGTAGACTTGTAAACATTCTAAAAAGTTTATTAAAAGCAGATCATTAGCAAAAAGAAACAGTCCAAAATACTTGTTATAGGAATGTTATACCACATAATTTGTATTTCAACAATTTTCCACTTTATTTCATGGCAGAAGAATAATAACTACCAGAGTACACATGATTCATAACTGAAAATACTTGTAAAATCCGATTAGAGGCGCTGGCAAAGATCAGTTCTTCACTGCTGCTTTCTCAGCAATGAATAAACCCCATCGTTGCTCACCGGATGAACTCCTGACCAACTTAGCCTTCCAGCCACCAACTATGTCATTGTAATCTCCCTGCAGATTAAGCACATTTAATTAAAAGCAGATCATTAGCAAAAAGAACAGTCCAAAATTTAGTCTGCAATACAAACCTCAGAGAAGTCTGCAATAAATCTTTCCTTTTCCTTTTCGACTGCATTAAGTTCCCTCTCCAGAACTTTCAGAAACTAAACCAACAAACACAAAGCCATAAGAAAATTAAAGACAATAAAATATTATAATTGGTAATCGAGGACAGTGTAGGTTTAAAAAAGAGAGACTAATGAAACCTGATCAGTCCTATCCTCAGCAACAACTTCATCGAATCCAGCATCTCTAAGCATCTGTATCGAACAAAATAATCTTTCAGTATACATGCTAATGAAAATAAGTTCTGAAACTGCTGAAAGGACAATAAGATTAAAATATCTATACACTTGCCTGGCCATATGCCTGCACATCATGGAGATCATATCCCCTCTGCTTAATATATGCTGCAAATTCAGTTGATGGTGTACCGGCATTCCTGCAGTAATCACTGATTAACACTTTCCCGCCAGGTTTCAACCATTTGTAAAACGATCTGAATAATGCAGGTTTATCCTGAAAAGTAAGACAAAGTAGTAAAAGTTATACTGCTAAATATTACTACTGGTGATGTAAACAAAAGACTGGTAAACACCAACACAAATCACCTGAATGTGGAGAATGGTGTCACGGCTGTAGATCACATCAAAAGCATTATCTGGGTAGGTTATTGTTGTACAATCAGCCACCTCAAACTCGACAGCACAATTGAGTCCAACAGTACGCTCAAGAGCTATAGAGATCATATTAATGGAGAGATCAATTCCAACAACCTCAACATTGAACTCCTCTGCCATGTAAAAATCACCTCCACCTATGCCACAACCCACATCCAGAACTTTCTGGCCAGGTTTCAGGCCAAGCTTCGACACAAATTCTTTCGTGGTTTCTGCCCAGAGTTAATAGTTCATCGATTCAATAAACATTAATTGATTAAAAAAAAAAAAAGCTATCATAAACAGGAACTGATATGATTACCATAACTTTGTATAACAATTTAGTATCCAGATAACAAAAGAAAGTGTACCTACTCCCCCAGTGCTCACATAACCAGGGCCAAAGACTCGCTCATAACGCAAAATGCCATTAGCTTTGTACTGAACATTATCCAGAAATTGCTGAAACCCTTTGTCATTCTCTGAATCAACTTTCTGCAATGTCCAGCAAATCTGAAATAGACAAAGATAGTCAGTAAAAGGTCAAAAGTACTTCTTCCCCTCTTCCCAGTTCCCACACAAAACTTAAGTACTAACCATGTCCGGATTTAGTTTTTCAAAGTATAACATCTACTATATGGGGTACATGATAGTTAATTCTGGACATAGGAAGTAAGAAAATAAAACTACCCAGCAACAACAAAGAGATAATATTAAAGAGCAACTGGATATCTAAGACCTTGTTTGAATTGCATTTGCCACCAACCACAGAGAGCTCATAAGAGTTCCCAGATTCATTTTGCACGCGGCATTCTTTGAATACCTGCAGCCACCAAAGCAACATTCAGAATTATTGGTCACATAGCTAAGGATTGGTTTTTTAGCTGAAGAATAAGCTCTTTTTTTTTTTCTAAGGTGGAGTAGAAACTGAGAATTTATTCTTTTTGTTTGAGGTTTTTGAATGAATTTGAATTGAACAGTGAGTCTATTTCTTTGAAACTTTGCCTCAAAATCAGAACTGCTGCAGGACTCATGAAATTATAATGACACTAAAGACTGCTGACTCAAGTTTATGAGAGGTCTTGAATTGCCTTCCTCACTATCTAACAAGTCTAGTAAGATTTCTGCATATACACATAATCAAACAGAGAAAACAGAGAAGACAAGTATATGAAAGGACAAACCAACAAACCTTTGAGTAGAACTTAGGATTGCGATAGTGGATTGACTTGCTTTGGTTCTGATTAGCACTGTCATTAGCACAAGTCTCTCTAAAGTAGATAAAGCCTCCTGGTTTCAACCATTTCACCATGCTTTGAACCATTTTTCCAACCTACAGTCCAAAAGTAAAATACACTCTAATTGTTAACACTGACAGACTGACAGTACTATCAGAAACAAATGTACACAGCTACAAGTTGCTGGAGTCACCACTGCTCGAGTTCATATAAGAAATCTTATACTCGAGGAAAGCCAAGCACGAAGATTACCTCATCATCAGAAAGATGCACAAGAAACGAATTAGCGAATATCAGATCAAAGGATTCTGGTGAAATGTCTAGATTAGGACATGAAACATCAGCAGAAATGAACTTCACATTTGGGTATTGTGCACTTATGCTTTCACTCTGCAACCAACACAAAGGATATTAGAATGGTCTACACAAATAAATACAGTAATTTAAATTTAACAAGTAAAATTGCTGATCACTTATTGATCTCACCTCGGCTTTCACACTCCCAGTGACATCAACAGCTACAACCTGGCCTGCCTTTTTGGCCAATTCACCAGTAAGGTGACCTATACCCTCACCAATTTGTAATACAGACTTTCCTTCATAAGGTGGAAGCGAAGGAAGAACCTGTATCCATATAGGAGAGCATTTAAAATTATATCAGTACACAAAATACTCCGTACATCCATGAACAAGCTTGGTTAACCTCAAAGCTTGCCTGACAATATAAACAAAGAAATGACTAACAACAAATACATCATCTCATTCAGTTAAGAACCTTTATTTATGATCGAATAGGCATAACATGATTTTCTTGGACTCATTTGCATTCATTAGCAAATCGATTGTATAGGGTCAATAGGGACTGTATTTTATAATAGTCCTCAATTAACAGTTACACACTTACACACACTACTTTAGTTAGATGTCAAGTTTACAATTCACTACTCGTAGTCAATACGCCTTTACAAACATAAAATTTACCCTATAGTATGATCGGTATCTCAATTTTCTTTCCATTAATTAGCCTTTTCATCTCTGTTTATTGCATCATTTCATCACAAAAGTTTATATATACATGTAATGTCAAAACAAATGGTACATTAAATTACACTTTGTTACTTCATTATTTAAAGAATGACATCACAGTTTGACACTTATGAAGAGGCCTTGTAATTTGATCAATATCGCGAAGACACGTATCAGTATTTATACAACAAAATACAGTATGAGACATCAAAATGTCATTTTCTTACTTACACGTGAATTCTTTACCAATAAATCAGTGTCGTTTTCAACTTTACATCCTCTTTTATAATTTTTTTATAATTTTCAAGTAAACTAGTTCCGAACCAAATCAGATTGATCTGATCTTAGTTGAAGAAATTCTGAAGCGGTTAAAATAACTAATAACTTCTTCAAACAAGGAGATCATTCATTAATCAAGCTATGATTAATTAGTACATTAAAATTGATTAACTATAGTCTTGCATAATACAGTACATGACATGTTACACATACTATAATCATATAAAATCATATCATAAAATTATAAAATAAGCTGAAAAATGGAAGTTTGAACAAACCTCAAGATGAGCAATTTGAGGAGCCATATCTTTTGACAAGAGTAAGTGGAGGAGAGAGAAAGTTGGTTAAAAAGGAAAGAGGACTAAGAACCGTTGATGGCGAGGCGAGAACGAGAGAAAGACCTTGATCTACGGTTGAGAGCTCTTCCTCTCTGCTGCATTCAGCTGCAAAGCAAAGCAGGGTACAAAACAACACTATATAGGAAAAGGGAGCACCTTAATAATATTTTGGAGAATGGAGATAGTGGAGATCCTCTATTATTTTTGCTTCTGCTTTTGTAGACTCGTCCTCATAGCTATAGGACATAAACTGTGGGCCCTCTTTTTTTTATTATGACACGAATTGATTAGTAGCGGACTTAAAAAAAATTATAATGATCGAGGTGTGGAAATTTAATAATTTTGTAAGCTATACGAGTAGCATGTGTAATCATTTGATTGAATCTAAGAAATTATATCGGTGTTCTCGTGAATTGTAAGATGTTTGGGATATGAGGAAACTCAAATATAGTTTTGAAACACTACGGATCAGAGTTCAATAATATTAAAACATTAAATTTTCTAAAAATGTTGTATGTTTTTTCCATTTGGACCAAATAATATCTATTCTGTCCAAAGTTTGTTTCCCTACATATTTAGGCTTTTTTCTTGAAATTACTGGACAAGAGAAAAAGAGCTCATGATATGAAGAACGGGAAGCCACATATCAAAAACAACAAACAACGAAACAAAAGAAAGTGACACTTTCTTTTAGCCTTCCAAAAGACCAAAATAAAAGAACCACGTCATTTTTCCACCAAACCACGTCAATTTGGAATATACGATAGTAATAAACCCAAATAAATAAAGTACAAATGAAATGAGCAATAAAATTAGAGTGGGTTAAATCACTTCATTTTTTAAAAACAACTTATGCTTCGTAATAATAATGATGATTAATTCCATTACAAATCAATTCAGAATAATGAATAATTTCATTAAGAAAAGAAAAGAAAAAAAAAAAAAAAAGACAGAGAGAGAAGGTGGGATCTTGATTCCTCAAGGATAAGTTGATAAGCAAAAGAATATTTTTTGGGAAAACAGCCATAATCACGATAACTGTGTTTGATTGGGAAATCCAGAAAAGTTTACACAATTTGTGAATTAATATCGTATATGGAGTATGGAGATTGACGCCTGTTGTTTTTTTACCCATTAAATCCAAGATCCAATGTCTATTCCCCTTCCTTAATGAGCTAATATTTTTTTATCTATGTTAGGAATATTCTTATGACTTATCCCTGGTACTGAGGTATACAGCAGGCTAGCGGCTCAACTACCTCGGTTTCTAAAATATTACGATCTCTCCATATAAAATTAATTGTCGTGTATACTACTGTCAGATAATATAAACTCCTTGATTAGAGTGATTTCCATTGATCAATATTTATAGGGTTACAATGAGAAACCTAATCATATTAGTTAACTATAAGATATGTACAGATATCAAAGATAATCTTATACAAAATATATCCTAAACCTAGGATGAGAATATTCTATGGATATTCTCTATCACACCCCCGCAGTCAGAGTGGGAGAAAATCGGATGCTCAGACTGGATCTGAATCACGCATCGAACGGTAAGGATAGTATAGTAACCCATGATCAAAAGAGAAAGTAGTAGAAATGTGCCGATGATGACGAGAGAAGCAACAGCCACGACCTACATAGAGTAGAGATAAGCACTGCTAGGCCGGAGGAGAAGGAGAAGAGTCGCACACAGACTTGGGCTAAGTTGCAGATCCAGAGAAGAAGAAGCTAAGGGATCAAACCATCATCGGGAAGAAGACACTACACTACTACGTGAAATCACAGTTGAAGAAAAATAAATAAAATTGCGCAAGAAAAGATTAAATCCCACCGCTTGAAATTAATCAATTCTCAGAAGAGAAACCAGGTAGCAAGAAGTAATACTTCACAAAGATTCTAAGTGCTGCAACAATAAAAGGAGCTAACTTGATAGCAAAAGAGATGTGCAAAAGTTGACCTTATTGTGATATACCACCACCCAAACAAAATCTATGTGATTATGTGTTAAAAAAACCAATGAGGCAATGTGAGAATCATTGTTGGTCATGGGGAGGTGGAAATAGAGTACGGCACATGGAGTAGGTTGGCAGATGTGGTTACTGCCAGTAGTGGGAGGCGGTAGTGTATGCGATTGCCAACAATGATGGAGGAGGCTTTCGCGATTGCTACTGTTGGTGGGAGGCGCAAGATTACATAAAGATTCTAAAAAAAACTTTGAGAAAAGAAAAAAAAATCTATATGTGTGTTTGCGGAAGCATAAAAAACTTTGTGTATCCCGTCGGTGGATTTAATTTTCTAACCCACCGGCAGGGTGAGAATTTTTGTATATAATCCGAAGATCTAACCTAAGCTGTGATACCATGTCAGATAATATAAACTCCTTGATTATAGTGATTTCCATTGATCAATATTTATAGGGTTACAATGAGAAACCTAATCATATTAGGTAACTATAAGATATGTACAGATATCAAAGATAATCTTATACAAAATATATATCCTAAACCTAGGATGAGAATATTCTATGGATATTCTCTATCAACTACTTTAGAATACATTTTCTACTTTGAATCGTAGTTTCTCCGACATCCCAAGAAGGGCGAACATGAGTGATATAACACAGAATATCCAACAATTTCCAAACATGTATAGCACTAGAATCATGCCTCTGAAGATATATGCAACACAGCTACTGCTTATTACAATCTGTTTCGGGTGAAAACAATGGGACCTTGCCGAAGGTCCGCTGAAACGGAGAAGACTGGATTCGGTCCAAGTTATGCTGGGCCGAAGGTTTCCTGCACAGTAAACACACGTAAACTAGCCTCGGGGGTGTTTCCGAGGAAGGCCCCTCCGATGCTAAAGTCAGTACAATGTGTAGAAAGAGAACACTATGCAAGAGAGTTAGTTGCTTGAGGCTTTGCTTGAATATATGAGAATATATGAGAGTGTATAAATTTGTGAATGAATCTGAATGTATGAATATTGATGGCTTTTATACCTCTTCATACATGGAGAGGTTGGGCCTTAGCCCAATTGGCTTGCTTTGTGGGCTGACCTTTGACTTTAGCACAATTGGAGAGTTGAACCTTGACCTTGGGCTTTTAATTGGATCATTTAATACCTAGGCCCAATTGGACTAAATTGGACCCAAACAACTTGCCCCCCAGACCCGATTTGGAAGGATGACGGGTCGGGTTTGATTTAATTCAGAAAAGGAGGGAAGTAAATGATTTAATTAATCCAAAAATTTGAATTTAAACCGTAATTAATGAGATAACAACGGTTAAGGCGGATGATTGTGGAAGTTGGACGGATAATGGGCAGTTTAATCGCAAGGTCGTGTGTTTAACGGTTACTTAGTGGGGTATTTAAGAGAAATTGAAACGCGGACTCCTCGTATCCCATTCCTGGAGATATAAACAGAGGCGCGTCATCTCTCCTCACTTATTCACCAACACAAACCCAAAATTCTCGAGAGAAACCAAGAACCCGCATCAAAACTTCACAAATTCCCCGAGCATTAAGCTTAGAAACTGAGACTTGCCACTACGAACTCGTAAATCGACAACTTTCGCTTCAGATTAAGGTAAATTCCTTTGATTTCAGTTTATTTTTCTTCGAATTCGAACTCCTTCCCTTTTTTTTCGACTTTTTTCTTCGAAATAATCAATGGCAAGAGGAGTTAGAGGTAGAGCCCGTGCTCCAAGAAGAGCAAGGCCGATTCCCGATCCTAGGAACAGGATTGGGACCTGGAATGGACAAAGGCCAGAGTCTGACCTGCTGAAGGGATTAGGGCGACTCCCATTTCCTCGGCTCCTCCTCAGAGAACGGAGGGGCCGAGCGCTTCTGGACGGGACGATGAAGTTCCCGCTGTCCTTTGGGATATCCTCCCCGGGTTTTCAGAGTGGGAGAATGCCGAAGTAGCTTCGGCCATGATAAAGAACCGCCCCTACTCATGGCGATCAATATCGGTTTGCCGAGCAAATTGAGTTGCATTACGGCATTTTTGAAGCTGATGGGTATTGGTGCCGAATGCCCGCGGCATCCGATAGAATCCATCGTCCACCCCCGGGGTATGTGGGGGTGTACACAAGACAGCTTCAGTACGGGCTGAGGTTCCCTTTGGACGTATTCGTCCGAGACTTGCTGATCCATTACAATATCTCTCTATGTCAGTTAACTCCCACCAGCATCCGAAGGGTGATGACATACTTATGGGTCTGCAAGTTCTTCAAGTATGTGTCGAACCTGCACTGCTTCAAAAAGCTTCATCGGCTAGTGCCAAATATTCAAAGTGGGCACGGAAGCCATGGTTCTGGGTGGTACCGGATTGAGTCTCGGCCCCAGTACCTAACCATGTGGCCGAACGACTCTTCAGACAAGGACTGGAGAGGTCAATGGATTTGGGTTAGGGCACCCACGGATTCGGGCCACCCTTGCGTCTTCAGCGCTCCCCGGTACCTTGCTGAGCCTGATCCCGACATGGGAAGTCTAGGTCCCCCCGCAGATAACGGGCCAGATCCGAACCTTGATCAACAAAATATCTTCGGCAAGCTGCCGAACCGGGGGGGCAGCGGCCGAATGCAGCATATCCCGGAGACTTGGCTCCCCGATACGTATTATGTTTTCCAAGAGAACATGCTAGCAGCTGTTGGCCTCAGCCGAAAGTTTAAGGATGGTAAGCTTCTTCGGCTGGGGCCGAGGCTTTTTAATTATCTCTTTTTCTCCTCACTTCGCTTTTTTATGTTGTGCCAACCTAACTGAACTGACCTTTCCCCTTTTTTTTCTTCAGAGCGGGACGAGACCAACGTCGGCATTAACTACGCTCGTCTTGGCGTCAACCGAGAACGAGTTGTAACTGATCGGGCCCCGTCTATCACTGAACCGAGGCATAGGGAAGTTCATCTAGACTCTTCCCACTTCCAAATTGAGGTTGTTGCTCTGTATCAGAGGCAGAAGCCTTGGTGGAAGAAGAGAGACCCCTGGTTTCAGCTGCTGGACGAAGAAGCTGAAGCTGCCCGTACAGCCGAAGAGGTTGCACGGGTTCTCGAAGCTTGCGAAGGAGGAGAAGGGTCCTCCAGAGCTGCTGAAGAAGAAGCTGCAGCTAGGGCAGCTGAAGAAGACGAGGCTTTGCTGAAGACCTCGGTGAGCTTTCGGACTTAACTTTGTCTTTCTTCTTTTTTCTTTTCTTTTTTTTTTTTTTACTCACATTCTTCCTCCCCCCTGTCTGTTACAGTCTGAAGAGAGTAACAGACACAGAGAAGGGAAAGCCCTTGTTCGTCCCGAAGACCAAATACAAGAAGAGTCCTCAGACTCAAATATGGACGAGCAGCCCCTTCAGAAAAGGCGCCGAAGGATGGCCATCATCGGGCCGCA